AGTTGAACATACCTTTCCCAAATTATTAAGGAGAGAAAGACCTGAGTCTGGGTGAGATGGATGCTTTGTATAGAACTGAGTGGTGTAGAGGATGGAGAATCAGCCAAGGAAAAGTTCACTGCCTGCCATGGACAGAACCACTGTCTGTCTTCATAGATATGGTATCAGTACACTGAGGGTGGGGAAAGGGGATGATGAACCAGGGTCTTGCTGATCTGTGCACTTGTGGTCACCCTTCCAACCATGCTCCCTGCCCTAATTTGGTGTTACTCTTCACAAATTCTAACAAGGAATAAGGCTTGGCATTCCCTGGTGGTCCAGAGGTTAGGGTTCTGCACTTCCACTGCAGGAGGCACAGGTTTGAACCCTTGTTAGGGACCTCAAATCTGACATGTCATCCAGCATGATCGAAAAATAAAAATAAAAACTATAACATGATTTCTTCGGAAGTGCCCCTGGGAATAGCATTAAACAGCAAATGAATGTTTTATCTGGAAGATAAAATTCTGATAAACTCCTCAATCCATTCTGAGGCAGTCATGCCTCAAGGGAGATATCTAGGCACACTGCTGCCTTAAAGAGGAAAATAGGACCACAGGCATTTATTTTGTTTCCAACTGGCTTATATCAAACACCATCTCTCTGAATCTAGATAAGTACTTAATCAGGAGGAGACAGGAAGAAAGTTCTCTGACCAGAGGAGACAAATTCATCTCTCAGATGAAGTCAACAGGCTTTCTAACTTGACCACCTAGGGATGGGCTGCTCAAGTGTACAGAAGAGGAGGCAAGTGGTTTCTGCAGCTAGAAGCCCAGCTCCCCCACCCCAGATGCTTTCCACGTTCTTCCCAGCCCACCCTGCTGCTTAAAGCTATATCTATGCCTTAGTCAGTGCTCTGGGAAGATCTGCCTCCGATCTGCCTTCAAGTGGACCATGGAAGCCCCAGCTCAGCTTTTCTGCCTCCTGTTCCTCTGGCTCCCAGGTGAGAAGAACATGGAATGGTTCTGTATGTCAGTGAAAACTGTGTTCATGCACCTGGGTCCTGCACTGTTCCTCAGCAAGCACAATAATTAAAGCTTGGTGTAGATCAAGGATGTACCTTGATCTACACTTATGTACCCAACAGGTACATAGGTGACTTTTTCCACTTTATTTCCAATCTCAGAAGTCACTGGGGAAGCCACATTGACACAGTCTCCAGCCTCCATGGTTTGACTCCAGAGGGAACAGTCACCCTTACCTGCAGCTCCAGTCAGGGTATTAGTAGCTACTTAGCCTGGTACCAGCAGAAGCCTGGGCAGGGCCCCAGGTTCCTCATCTATGATGCCTCCAGCAGGGCCTCTGGCATCCCAGCCTAGCTCAGTGGGTCAGGGACAGACTTTACTCTCACCATCAGAAGCCTGGGGCCTGATGATGCTGCAGTTTATTACTGCTATCACTGTGGTTAACCGGTATCCACAGTGATTGAACCTAAAACAAAAACCTCCACTTGACCTTCAGTTCAATTCAGTTCAGTTGCTCGGTTATGTCCGACTCTTTGCGGCCCCATGGACTGGAACACATCAGGCTTCCCTGTCCATCACCAACTCCCAGAGCTTGCCCAGACTTGTGTCCATTGAGTTGGTGATGCCATCCAACCATCTCCTCCTCTGTCATCACCTTCTCCTCCTGCCTTGAATCTTTCCTAGTATCAGGGCCTTTTCTAATGAGTCAGCTCTTCGCATCAGGTGGCCAAAGTATTGGAACTTTAGCATCAGTCCTTCCAATTGACCTTAGAGGGTTTCTTTTTCAATTTACACCAGTTGTTTCCTTTATAAGCAGCTGCTACTATGGCAGCTCAGTTTTAGCATCTCAACCTCTATTTGGAAGACTTAAAGTTCTGAAAAGTAACTCCATGACAAGATTTGGACTCCACGTCCTGGATTTTTTCTCAGACTAAAATAAACAACCATACTTAGGCACAATTTCATTGCCAATGGCATTAGATCAGACTCCCATGAATGGATGACTTTAAAGATACACCTCTTCTGGCCAGTGCAATAAGGCAAAAATAACAACAACAAAGACTGAATTAGAAAGGAAGAATTAAAGCTATCATAATTCAAGGTGAATGGAGTGTATGCAAAGAAAATTCAAAATAAACAACAAACAATTGCATTTAATAAAAGAAATAGAAAACCATTGGATTTGAGATTAATAATTAGAAAACAGCAATTTAATTTTTCTACCACTACAACAAATTATAAAAATTAAAATTACAAAGCACACCATCTACAAGAGCATCCAAAGCATCACATACTTAGGAAAAATAACAAAACACACCATAGACCCCAGAACATTATTCAAGGAAAGTGGAACAATCTAATCAAAATCAAAATCCCAAGATAATTTTTTTAAAAATCACATTTGCAGGACCATTTAATAGGAATGAGATGAATAAAGCCAAATATAGCTGGTAGCAGTTCTTCAAGGTCATCTACCTAGCTGGAGAGCATCATGTAAATTTTACTGTCCATTTTAGGACAAAGTTCTTTCTCAATAATTCCAAAAAATGGATCATCTTTAAATGTTCAAAACACATCTCAAAACATAAAGCCCCAGACTTACAAATAGCTCTTTTGGTTTTTATTACTTACATATTCCTGTTATTCCTCATCCAAGGTCTCTTATTCTTGAAATCCTAGACTTTTAGTAACAGCTTTATGGCATTATGGCTCAAGTGGTAAAGAATCCACCTGCAATGCCAGAATCACACAAGACAGTGAGTTCAGTCTCAGGGTCAGGAAGATCCCCTGGAGGAGGAAATGTCAGCCTACTCCAGAGTATTCTTGCCTGGAGAATTCCATGGATGGAGGAGCCTGGTGGGCTACAGTCCATGGGATCACAAAGAGTCAGACACAGCTGAGTACTCACACACTCCCACTTATGGCATTACAAATCATATACAATATAGTTTACTAATTTATACTGTACAATATGATAGACTTTAGTATACTGACAGAGTTGTGTCATCATCACCATGATAATTTTAGAATATTCTCAAAAAGAAATCCTGTACCCATTACCAGTTACCCCCCACTTCCTCCATCATCAAATATTCCCAAGTCTAACCACTAATCTACTTTTATGTCTGTACCTGTTGTGGATACGTCATATAAATAAATCATTCTATATATATGTTCTTTTGTGATTGGCTTACTTCAATTACCATAGTGTTTGCAAAGTTTTTCCATGTTGTAATATATTATAGTACTTCATTCCTTTTTATGGCCAATGATATTTTTTGTTTTTAACTTTTGATTTTATATTGGAGTATAGTTGACTAAGTGCTGTGTTAGTTCTAGGAGTAGAACAAAGTGATTCAGTTAATACTATACATGCATCTATTTTCAAGTTCTTTTCCAATTTAGATTATTACATAATATTTAGCAGAGTTCTCTGTGCCATACAGTATGTCCTTGTATAACCAAATAGCGTTGATTATGAGACATTTTGCTTTTCCATTCAACAGTTAATGGACATTTAAACTCTTCCCACTATTATGGTCAATCAATAACACTTCCATGAACATTATCATATAAGTTTTTGAGTGAACATCAGATAAAAAGAATTTGATTAGGAAAAAGCAGGGGTTTCACTGGTGGCTCAGATACTAAAACCTCAGAACCTGCCTGCAATGCGGGAGACCCAGATTCAATCCCTGGATTTGGAAGATTCCCCTGGAGAAGGGAATGGCTACCCACTCCAGTATTCTTGCCTGGAGACCTCCATGGACAGAGGAGCCTGGCAGGCTACAGTATATGGGGTCACAAAGAGTTGGACATGACTGAGCATCTAACATACATCCAAACGAGGAAAAGCAAGGTACGTATCTTACCTGCTTTCAAATTGATGGTAGCAATTTATTGTCTCACCCTTCATCTCTTTGCCCTACTATTTAGCTACAATTTTCAGTGTCCACTTTCAATTGCTTCATGTAATTTTTCTTAAATGTAGATGGATGGTATACAAAGAAATTATTTTAGGTACTACCCAGTACCATTGAGTAGGCATTAATTCACTTGAGTCAAAAGGAAATAAAAAATTTAAATGTGAAAAAAATCTCAGTGTAAGAAATTCAGTTTAGGACAAGTAACGTATGTGTAAATATTGTAAGAAAGAGCTGAGCAATCCTAGAACCATGTGTGCAGTTGGAAACAGCATTAAACAGATGCCTCTCTGAATCCCGTATTCAACCATGACTGAAATAATTAGAATACATTCATGAGTATGCAACCCAAAGAAAGGCAGTGGTTGGTGATGTCAAGAATAGTGCTATGGTATCTATCAACCCAGTTTATTTTGGAGAAGGAAATGGCAACCCACTCCAGTATTCTCACCTGGGAAATCCCAAGCGGAGAGGAGCCTGAGGGCTATTGTCCATGGGGTCATGAAAGAGTTGGACATGACTTAGTGACTAAACAACAAATGTATCACCCCAGTTTATTTAGCATCAGAATGGCAAAAGATGGAGCGCTGAATCTTGCAGTATAATGAACAGTCTGGTTGAAAAAAAGCAAAGCAAAGGAAAGAGGATGATAGTTGCCCAGGAGTTTAGATTTTAGTCACGGCCCTTTTGAAAGCAAGCAAAGCTATGACAATAACACCATGAACCACACTCATGCATGAAGTCTCACACTTTGCCATTTAAACACTGCCTCCCCGTCCCATCCCCACATACCATATTATTTGCATATTGCTTCCATATGTAAGTCCCTCAACATCTCAGAGGCCATATAAAGTATGAGTAAAGACACTGACCACAAGTGAAGGTCCCGCCAAGACCATGAGCTCCCAGGCTCACCTCATCTTCCTGCTCCTCTGGATCTCTGGTACGAAAAATAATTTCCCTCTTCTGAATCTTGACCCCCAAAAATGCATTTGTATATGAAATTGATGTTTGTCATTCTCGCTGAATATGATGTTTTTGAATTATCTTTTCTATTTTCTCCCTTAAATAGAGACTGTAGCAGAAATAACCCTCTTACAATCTCCAGCAACGGTGTCAGTGACTCCAGGAGACAGAGTCACTATCACCTGCAAAGCCAGCCAAAAAGTGGATGATGACTTGTACTGCTACCAACAGAAACCAGGACAAACTCCTAAGCTCATTATTAAACAGGCTTCTACTCTTATCTCTGGGGTTCCATCCAGGTTCAGTGGCAGCGGGTATGACATAGATTTTACCCTGACAATTGATGACATCAAATCAGAAGATTCTGCTTATTACTTCTGTCAACACGATGAGAATATCCCTCCCACAGTGATATATTCTGTTTCAAAAACCTCCAAAGGCCTTCAGAGGGATGACCTCAGCTGCTACTGAAAATCTTCAACATTTGGAACTACCTTGCCCATTGGGATTTATTACATAAGGTTTCTTCACATACATGTATATTCACTTCCTTTTTCTATGTATTTATATATTTTCTACTACCTCCAGTGCTATGGGCCTCTTTGGTGGTTCAGACATAAAGAATCTGCCTGCAATGCAGAAGACCCAGGATTGATCCTTGGGTTGGCAAGATCCCCTGGAGAAGGGAATGGCAACTCACTCCAGTATTCTTGGCTGGAGAAGTCCACAGACAGAGGAGACTGGCAGTTTACAGTCCATGGGGTCACAAAGAGTTGGACACTACTGAGTGACTAACACACTTTCCAGGGCTATGCTTGACACACTTGATTTTGTAGAGACCATAAGAGCTTCCAATCACATTGGCCAGCTGTTTCAATTGGTCTGCTTTGAAGCAGAGATAAAATAACATAGCCATGTTATAAGCCCTGAGAGAACTGCTCTGAGGATCAAGGAGAGGTTATACAGAAGTTTTGCAACAAAGGTCAGGTAGTCTGAACATCAAAAGATTATTGGTAATTAAAGAAAATTAGACATCCTAGCTTAAGGAATTTAGTGCTTTTCTATCTACGGGAAGATACAAGAGTCTGGGTTAACTGAAATCATTCTTTGATATGCTCCTCAGCTATCTGCAGCCAGTATCCTCTTTTCCACCTCCTCGGGGCTCACCATAGGGAGTGGCTGTAGTTTGATGGATGCTAGATGGCAGGTATTCTTCTCCTTCCTGAGTTCCCTTAGGGCTAACCGGCTCACATTGCAGGGCTGCAATCACTGAAAACTGTGACTTTCTTTTCTACTGATATGGCAGGAAATACTCCGTTTCTCTATGCAGATCCCAAGGACTGTATGCAGCATACCAGGCCTCCCTATCCATCACCTCCCTCCCAGAGCTTGCTCAAACTCTTGTCCTTGGAATCAGTGATGCCATCCAGCCATCTTGTCCTCTGTCACCCCCTTCTCCTCCTGCCTTCAATCTTTCCCAGCATCAGGGTCTTTTCAAATGAGTCAGCTCTTCTCACCAGGTGGCCAAAGTATTGGAGCTTCAGGTTCAGCATCAGTCCTTCCAATGAATATTCAGGATTCATTTCCTTTAGGATTGCCTGGTTTGATCTCCTTGCAGCCAAAGGGACTCTCAAGAGTCTTCTCCAATACCACACAGTTCAAAAGCGTCAATTCTTTGGTGGTATCATCTGCATATGTGAGGTTGTTGATATTTCACCTGGCAATCTTGATTCCAGCTTGTGTTTCATCCAGCCCAACATTTCACTTGATGTACTCTGCATATAAGTTAAATAAACAGGGTGACAATATACAGCCTTGTTATACTCCTTTCCCAGCTTTGAACCAGCCAGTTATTCCATGTAAGGTTCTAACTGTTGCTCCTTGACCCTCATACAGGTTTCTCAGGAGACAGGTAAGATGGTCTGGTATTCCTGTCTCTTTAAGAATTTCCCACAGTTTGTTGTGATCCACACAGTCTAAGGCTTTAGTGTAGTCAATGAAGCAGAGGTAGCAGTTTTTTCTGGAATTTCTTGCTTTCTCTATGATCCAACGAATGCATTGGCAAGCAGATTCTTTACCCCTGAGCCACCTGGGAAGCCCTACTGACACCAAAATTGCTTGATTGTTGTCGCTTCCAAGTAAGCCTTGAATTCAAGTATTTTAAATGCTAAACATTGTTTTATAACCCTTTTTAAAATTTTTGTGTTTTCAGTTCCTTCGTATTTCTATTTAAATTTATACATTTTTTTACCTTCCAAAACTATAACTGCTTAGATTTTGAGTCAAATCTTTAAATTCAGTGAGGAGAATTGTTCATTTTAATATGACTAGATCTATGAGCTCTATGTATTTCTCCACCTATTAATATTTTTAAAGTTTATTTCTGCAATATTTTATAATTTTCCTTGTACACTACTTGAATATGATTTGCTAACATATCCCTAAGCATTTCTAGGTTTGTAAAGCCATTGTAAATTTTGCTTCCAGCTCTTAATGCTAGTACATAGAAATATATGTGAGTCTTATATCATGATTTTTATATAATGGACTTTTGTTTCCTATGACTTGCTGAAAGCACATATTTCAATAATATTATTTTAAAGATTTTTTTAGGATTCACTTCCTAGACACTTAAGTTTTCTTGGACAAAACATGGTTTGATTCTTTTGAATGCTAAAAAAAATCTGCATTCTTGGGTTAAACCACTTCATCACCTTGCAGAACCCTTTTTAATTGATTGTTGGGATTCCATTTGCTAATACTTTGCTAAGACTTTTTGATCTGTGTTCATTGCATATTTTGGTGTGTAGATTTCTTGTACTGTCTGCTCTGGTTTGATACAAGGGTAAGTTTGTCTTTATGGAATGATTTTGGAAATTTTGCATTTTCCTCTATTTCCTGGAAACATGGGTACTACTCATATTTCTTTCTTAAATGGTTAACAGAGTTATTAGGGAAACTCTGTGGCTGGAACTTTTTTCTCAGGAATGAGTTTTTAATTCCAAAGTCAATGTTTTTAACAGCTTTGGGACAATAAGATTTTATGTTTTTTTATGTCAGTTTGTCTGAGTTTTTCTAACTTTCTAAGAATTTCTGTTTTATTGAAGTTTACCTATTTTATGACACAGGATAAGTTTATCTTCATGAAAGTCTCTATATGCACTTGAAAAGGAAACACATTCTCATACTATTTTTTTTTAGTTGTTACAAGCATTTTTTTTCATTTATTTATATTAGTTGGAGGCTAATTACTTTACAATATTGTATTGGTTTTTGCCATACATTGATATGAATCAGCCATGGATTTACATGTGTTCCCCATCCTGAACCCTCCTCTTGCCTCCCTCCCCATCCCATCCCTCTGGGTCTTCCCAGTGCATCAGCCCTGAGCACTTGTCTCATGCATTCAACCTGGACTGGCGATCTGTTTCACAATTGGTAATATACATGTTTCAATGCTATTCTCTCAGATCATCCCACCCTTGCCTTCTCCCACAGAGTCCAAAAGTCTGTTCTATACATCTATGTCTCTTTTTCTATCTTGCATATAGGGTTATCATTACCATCTTTCTAAATTCCATATATATGTGTTAGTATACTGTATTGGTGTTTTTCTTTCTGGCTTACTTCACTCTGTATCATAGGCTCCAGTTTCATCCACCTCATTAGAACTGTTTCAAATGTATTCTTTTTAATGGCTTACTAATATTTCATTGTTTATATGTACCACAGCTTTCTTATCCATTCATCTGCTGATGGGCATCTAGGTTGCTTCCATGTCCTGGCTATTATAAACAGTGCTGCAATGAACATTGGTGTACATATATCTCTTTCAAATCTGGTTTCCTTGATGTGTATGCCCAGTAGTGGGATTGCTGGGTCATATGGCAGTTCTATTTCCAGTTTTTTAAGGAATCTCCACACTGTTCTCCATAGTGGCTGTACTAGTTTGCATTCCCACCAACAGTGTAAGAGGGTTCCCTTTTCTCCACACCCTCTCCAGCATTTATTGCTTGTAGACTTTTGGATAGCAGCCATTCTGACTGGCGTGTAATGGTACCTCATTGGGGTTTTGATTTGCCTTTCTCTGATAATGAGTGATGTTGAGCATTTTTTCATGTGTTTGTTAGCCATCTGTATGTCTTCTTTGGAGAAATGTCTGTTTAGTTCTTTGGCCCATTTTTTAATTGAAAACCCACTTCTCTTGTGTCTCCTGCATGGGCAGGCAGGTTCTTTATCACTAGTGCCCCCCCCCAATCTCCCACATCCACCCACAGAAACAATGACTTGGCAACTATCCATAGACAAAACGGTCCTGGTAGCACCTGCTAGATTTGGTGCAAGCTCCACTTGGCTGTAGTCCTACCATGATCCCTTTATGGCAAAGGATCAAGGAGGAGCCACACTCATGTCCATGGTAAAGGGCTTATCAACCTTAATCCCAATAGCTGACCCTGAAGTTACCCTTGACCCAGCTCCAGCCCTGTAGTACCACGGTTCTGGAGGCAGTCTTGCCCACTCATTAACCCTACCCAACCTGAGTAGAATTCTGCCCAGGTACCCAGCAGGAGATAAACCTATACATGCCCTGATAACAGGCTTGTCATCTGAAGACCCAACTGCTGACCAAGAAGCAGCCTATGACTCAGCTTAAGCCCTGCTTGACCATAGTCCCAGGGACACTCTCATTTACCCAGGTACCTGTCATAAACCACACCCATCCATGACCCCGGCACCAGACCTACCAATCATAACCCAGTCATTAGCCCAACTGCAGCCACATGACTTGGCTCCAGCCCCATTCAACTAAGACCCCAGAGACAGTCCCATCAGACGAAGGACCCAAAAAGAGAATATCTTTAGATACAAAAAAAAAAAAAAAAAAGGTCTGTAAAGAATGGCAGAAGTGACATGACTGCAGCTTCAAATACACAGACACCAACACAAGGCCATAATGACCACAGGTGAAAGTGAAAGTCACTCAGTCGTGTCTGACTCTTTGAGACCCCATGGACTATACTGTCCATGGAATTCTCCAGGCCAGAATACTGGAGTGGGTAGCCTTTCCCTTCTCCAGGGGATCTTCCCAACCCAGGGATCAAACCCTGGTCTCCTGCATTGCAGGTAGACTCTTTACCCACTGAGCCACAAGAGAAGCCCAAGAATCCTGGAGTGGGCAGCCTATCCCTTCTCCAGTGGATCTTCCCGGCCCAGGAATCCAACCGGGGTCTTCTGCATTGCAGGTAGATTCTTTACCAACTGAGCTATCAGGGAAGCAGGGACCACAAAGTATCGAGCAAACGTGATGCCACCAAAGACATTTGTAGTCTTGTTGGCTTATACAGCACTGTCATCTACTGACAGAACCTTATAACTGCACTCTGACTTCAGATTGAGGGTGTCACAGT